AAAACCGCAGCAATAGCAGCCCTTCGAGGTTGGAAGTTTTTCCTCTTCCTTCATTTCCCAAGTTGAATTTGCTAACATTTGGAAGTGGGTGTTTTGTCTTGGAGTAAAACACAGGATTGAGTCAGGTGTTTAGATTCTGTTTTGGGAAGAGAACAAGCCCCCAGACAGCTTTGTCCACTCAGGTCCAGATGGTGTGTATTATCTTTTGATGGGTCATAGGAGCCAAGATTGAAGATGTTGCTGCTCAATTAACTAAGGTTTAAAACTGCTAAATTGTAGCCAAAAGAAGATGCATAGTATAGATCTATCAATTCAGTGCTGGGCTTGATAGGGAAATGAGAAAGAAACAACCAGTAACAAGAGAAGATGCAAGATAACACAAAGCCACAAAAAAACTGCATGAGGTCAATTTTGCTATATAAAATCACCAACGGCTACTCTGTCTGTATCTGCAGGGTGAAATTAATGCTAAGCAGTTGCAGACTTGTACTGCAGATGAACTCAAAAAAAAAATCATCTTCTAGCCTGTCTCTCCAAATATAGCCCAAAGCTAATATTACAGTTCTGTGCATATTTATGTTATTAAAATGCTATGGCCCAAACTGTCAAAACTAAGTAGATTTGTAACAAATTTACATTCATATTTAACCATCTTAAAAAAAAAGGTGATTAGGAAACCATAAGAAATCAAATCTGTTTGAATAGTTTCTGATGAATTGTTTCTCAAACTTTAGAAGTATATGAATTTAGATCTTTATTAATAAGTATCTTTCTCAAGATTTTTGTACTTGCATATCAAACATATGTATTGGACCAGGAGTCTAGGGAGTTCTGGAAAAATAATAAAGCATTAGATTTCTAATAAAGCCTCTGGCACTTGCTACACTTTTACTATAGCCATTGATATTTCTAACCATTAATACTGAGGTAAAACAAATGATTAAAATATATATATATATCAAAGATCCAGAATGAACATGAAACATTTATGGCTGCTTGTTTATGAAGCTGTAGTTAACAGCGCACAATGTGTTGCATATCATTCATCTTTTATAGTGCAGAACAGCTAATAACTGAAAAGCCTTTTAACAAAGGATTTACAAAACGAAAGTCAGATTTTCTAGTTAATTACTGAAGGAGAACAAAATTGTGTTTATTATTATCCTGCCAAGTTTATGCTTGCATGATTTATTTTCTTGGCCCAAGTCACTTGGGTTTAGTAATAGCAAAGATATTATTTAACAAAAATAACACTACCAGAACAATATATGGGTGAGGAAGAGAAGGGAAAGAAAGGAGACATTAAGATACCGGTGGAATAGACAACAAAGTGGATTCAAATGTTCAAAAAGAATGACTTAATTGCATGATGACAGTCAAGCATGACCATAATGTAATTTCTCTATCCTATGCTACATAGGATAGCATTGCCTTGGAGACAAGGAACTTTCACCAAAAGAGAAACAGTAAAAAGAAAGATTGTCTTTACCAATTTAAAGCTCTTGGCTCATGTCCTAATACATTGTCTTGTCTTCAGTCTTTCTCTGTCCTACACCTCTTAGTTTTACAGCGATGTTTGAGAATAAACATCCTGAGGTGGATCTTCCCTGATGTCATATTGTTTCAGCTTATTATAAAGATTGGGCTAAAGCCAGCAGCGAAGTTTAGAGCCGGGTTGAGTTTCTAAACCTTGACAAAGATTAGGGTGGTCTGATCCAAACTTTTGTTTCAAAACTCTCTCTTCTCTGAACTCCCTTTTGTCAGAGCCACATGGGGAGGTGGTTCTTCAACATTTTCTGAAGCAACTTTCCAGCTTCAAGAAGTCATTTTAATTACAGATTTATTTTTTGTATAAAACAAACAGAAAATATATAGTTGTCAAATCTAGAAGAAATCCATTAGAACAAAAAAGTTAATTAAATGTCAGTATTGAAACAACTCTGGAGGCATCCCCATGTTTCTCATGTCCGCTTGGGTGCTCTCCAACACAGGAAGGTCTCTGCCATGCCTTCCACAACAGCTCACAGCTGACAGGGAACAGATCCACCTGCGGCCCATGCAATGCTGGCCTATATCCCACATGGGGCATAAGGAAGCATCAGCAGATCTGTGCCTCCACACCAGGGCTCACCAGTCCCCCAGACTCTCCAGCACATGCTCTTTTACTCCAGTGATGCTCTTGGTGCCCATAGGGGTGGCAGGAGAGACAGCCTCTCATGCCACTTCCTCCCAGGACCATCTGGCTTTGCTGCATCCCGTGTACCACTTTGTTCACTGGCTAGGATTGGGGAAAGCTATCATCTGATGAAGGGCCCATACTCACCGGCACAGTCCGCAAGGAGCTCCCCTTCCACCCTGAGTGACTGTGAGGATGAACTACCACATGGTCACTTAGAAGTGTCCAAAAAGTCTCCTTTGCTAAAGGCACACACATCTTCACTGATTTGATTTCCATGTAGGTTTCCTGCTTTAATACCTCAGGACTATCATTCTGCCTCCTACCAGTCTAGCCTTGCACTGTTGTTACTAAGTCTGACCTGAAATTCCTGGGATAATCTCAAATTTTTAAAGAAAAGGGGGAAGGGGAAGGAGAGAAGAAAACTATTTTGAATTAGGAGCAAAAGATCATGAAAAATTCATGGACTGGCAAGATTCCATGAAAAGAAAATAACACTTTTACGTCAAGCAAAACATTTCATTTTAACGTTAAAATGAAATGTTTAATGTTTAATGCCCAGCAACAGTGCATCCCTGTGTGTAAGAAGTCAGGCAGAGGGGGCAGGACACCTGCGTGGATGAGCAAGGAGCTTGTGGTAATGCTCAAGCAGAAGGCGGCGGTATATAGAATGTGGAAAAAAGGACAGGCCCCCTGGGAGAAATACAGGAATGCAGTCAGGGAATGCAGAGATGCGACAAGGAAAGCTAAGGCGTGTTTGGAACGCAATCTGGCAAGGGACGTTAAAAATAACAAGAAAAACTTCTTCAAATATATTAACAGCAAAAGGAAGATCAGGGAAAACGTGGGTCCGCTGGTGAATGGGGTGGGCACCCTGGTTACGAAAAACACAGAAAAAGCAGAGTTGCTGAATGCCTTCTTTGCTTCGGTGTTTACCAAGGGCAGCCCTTTAGAGTCCCAGGCCCTAGGGACAAGAGAAGAAGCCTGGAGAGAGGAAGACTTGCCCTGGGTAGAGGAAGA